CTCTCCTCACCCCCTACTCTCACCCCTCCTCTCACCCTCCTCTCACCCCTCCTCTCACCCCCTCCTCTCACCCCTCCTCACCCCCTCCCTCTCACCCTCCTCTTCTCACCCCTCCTCTCAAACCCCTCCTCTCACCCCTCCTCTCACCCCTCTCTCTCACCCCTCCTCTCACCCCTCCTTCTCACCCTCCTCTCACCCCTCGCTCCTCCAACCCTCTCTCACCCCCTCTCTCATCTCCTTTCACCCCTCCTCTCACCCCCTCTTCTCACCCCCTCCTTCCACCCCTCCTTACCCCTCCTCTCACCCTCCTCTCAACCTCTCTCTCTCTCACCCCCTCCTCTCAAACCCCTCCTCTCAAACCCTCCTCTCATTCTCCTCCTTTCACCTCTTCTCACCCCCTCCTCTCACCCCTCCTCACCCCTCCTCCCCGCCTCTCACCCCTCTCACCCCTTCCTCTCACCCTCTCTCTCACCCCTCCTCTCAAACCCTCCTCTCATTCTCCTTTCACCCTCTTCTCACCCCTCCTCTCACCAACCTCTTCTCTCTCACCCTCTCTCACCTCCTCTCCACCCCTCCTCTCACCTCCTTCTCACCCCTCCTTCTCTCACCCTCCTCTCACCCCTCCTCTCACCCCTCCTCTCACCCCTCTCCTAACCCCTCCTCTCTCACACCCTCCTCTCAACCCCCCTTCTCCACCCCTCCTCTCACCCCCTCCTTCTCACCCCTCCTCTCACCCCCTCCTTCACCCCACAGGCCTACCGCAACCTCCGCAGTGGGCGCAGTCACCTGCAGGCGGACCGCTCGTGGGACTCCGAAGGCGCCTCCTCGGCCACGCCCACGGACAGCCAGCACCTGGTCGCCAACTACTCGTACCCGTCGAGGAAGAACTCGATCAGCTCGTGGTTGTCGCCCAAGAGCAAGAGGTCGAAGAAGGTGTGTGAGGCGCCCTGGCTCCGTTTTGTTGTTGCTGTTGTTGTGTTGTTGGTTTTTGTGCAGAAGGGTTAGACTTTGTGATTTGGTTGGGGTGTCTAAGGGTGTGTGTTATCTGTGTGTAACATATTCATGTGCATGTATAGATACTCTTTATATCTATGTTCTATCTATTATATATTTATATCAATTATATATATATATATATATATATATATATATATATATATGTAGATATAGCAAATATATATTATATTATATATATATATATATATAATATATATTATATACATATATAATATATATATATATATATATATTTATTTATATATTTATATATATATATATATTATATATAATATATATATTGTATATTGTGTGTGTGTATGTATGTTGTTGTTTATATATAATATGCATATATAGATAGATAGAAGATAGATGTGTGTGAAATTCAAACACTCAGAAGTCGCAGCCGCCCACTCAGCCAGCTCCCCCGCCCTCCCGCAGGTGGAGCGCCTCACGGAGCCCGAGCTGTTCATGGAGCTCATCCGGGACATCAGCACGGAGCTCGACATCGACACGCTGTGCCACAAGATCCTGGTCAACGTGGGCCACCTCACGCACGCCGACCGCGCCTCGCTGTTCCTGGCGCAGGGGCCGCGCCACTCGCGCCGCCTCGTCGCCAAGCTCTTCGACGTCACGGTGGACACGGGTACGCCCTCGCTCGGAGGGTATATATATATATATATATATATATATATAATATATATATATATATATATATATATATATATATATATATATATATTATATATATATACATATACATATATATATATATATATATATATAATATTATATATATTATATATATATATATATATGTGTGTGTGTGTGTGTATGTATAATGTGTGTATCGTGTGTGTATTATATATATTATATATATATATATATATATTATATATATATATATATATATATATATATATATATACACATATCAATAGACATACACCCACAATGTGTATGTGTATATATATATATATATATATATATATATATATATATATATATATATATATATTATATATATATATATATATATATATATATATATATATATAGTGTGTGTGTGTGTGTGTGGTGTATATATATTTATATGGCTGTGGTTTTCAATGTTTGTGTGCATTTGTAGGCAAGCGTATTAAACTGCCTCCCACTCTCAGCCTTAATCGAACCTTCAGCCAAGCCAGGCATCTTAAACTACATCTCAATCTCACATCAAATCGACCTTTAAACCCTTATTAGGCTTATCAACTTTATTCCTTACACTCTTTGATCACTTAATTCCCCCATTCCTTTGATAACTCGTTCCATATTCCTTTTACTAACTCATTTTCTCGTTCGATTTTCTCCCCCTTCGTCTCTAGTGCTGGAGGAAGCTCTCTCCAACGCCGCCGACAGGGAGATCATGCTCCCGTGGGGCGTGGGCATCGTGGGTCACGTGGCCAGCACCAAGGAGGTCATCAACATTAAGGACGCATACCAGGTCAGGA